CTCTCAAAGTACTAACGTTGATAAATATCAGTAAAAAGAGATATTAATCCTCCCTCCTATATCGGGTGATACAGTTAATCCTCCCTCTCATATTGGGTAGTAACTGTGTTAACCCTCCAATTCCTATCGGGTGATATAGGTGTTAATTCTCCCTCTCATACCGGGTGATATAGGTGTTAATCCTCCCCTCATATCAAGTGATACATGTATAGGTGGTAATCTTCCCTGTCATATCGGGTGATACATGTGTTAATCCTCCCCTCACATCGGGTGATATAGGTGGTAATCTTCCCTCTCATATCTGGTAATACATGTGTTAATCCTCCCCTTATATCGGGTGATAAAGGCGTTAAGCCTCCCTCTCATATCGGGTGATATAGGTGTTATTCCTTCCCTCATACCAGGTGATACAAATGTTAATCATTCCCTCATACCGGGTATCTACAACATAAGATATCTAACAACATAAGGTGATAAAGGCGTTAAGCCTCCCTCTCATATCGGGTGATATAGGTGTTAATCCTTCCCTTATACCGGATGATACAAGTGTTAATCCTTCCCTAATACCGGGTGATACATGTGTTAATCCTTCCCTCATACCGGGTGATACAAGTGTTAATCATTCCCTCATACCGGGTGATACATGTGTTAATCCTCCCCTTATATCGGGTGATAAAGGCGTTAAGCCTCCCTCTCATATCGGGTGATGTAGGTGTTATTCCTCCCCTCATACCAGGTGATACAAGTGCTAACCATTCCCTCATACCAGGTGATACATGTGTTAATCCTCCCCTCATATAGGGTGATAAAGGCGTTAAGCCTCCCTCTCATATCGGGTGATATAGGGGTTAATCCTTCCCTTATACCGGATAATACAAGTGTTAATCCTTCCCTTATACCGGATGATACACGTGTTAATCCTTCCCTTATACCGGATGATACACGTGTTAATCCTTCCCTTATACCGGATGATACAAGAGTTAATCCTTCCCTTATACCGGATGATACAAGAGTTAATCCTTCCCTCATATCGGGTGATAAAGGTGTTAAGCCTCCCTCTCATATCCGGTGATACAAGTGTTAATCCTTCCCTCATATCGGGTGATAAAGGTGTTAAGCCTCCTTCTCATATCTGGTGATACATGTGTTAATCTTCCCATTCATATCGGGTGATACAAGTGTAAGTTTTGCCTCTGATGTCAGGAATGATCGCTTGATCATCCCCCCGTTAACATGGGGTGATACAATGCTATGCCTCCCTCTCGTGTCGGGTCATAGAACTCTTTAATGTTCTACTGTTCTATGATGGCCCTCGTACATGGTGTTTAAATCCCCCGATTTCCCTCTAAATTTGCCTCAATATGGAGTCGGGTATTCTTCCCGTCCTTTTAGTTGAGGTCATTGTTAATTGGAAAGTTTATATAATTTTTATTGTCCTCAGTCAAGATATATTGGTCTTTTTCCTCGGATATTTTGTCCTATCTATTGTCGCATTTGAAAGCATATTTACTTTGTGTTCACTGTCCTCATACTTCGATGTGCAATTCCGGAATTTCTTTCTCGTCTGCTACCTTTTATTTGCGGCTCTATATATGCTAGTTTGTTCCTTTAATCCGAACAAATGTAAAATATCTCGCTGCTGTGTTTTCATATATTTTTTGTTTATTTTTGTTCCCTCCAAAGATTTGATTTTACTCTCTAAAATCGCCATGATTTCTCCGTAACTGAATTAGCGAGACAGGGAGGACAAATCACACTTGAGTCCACTGATTTCGTCTCGTTATTTCCGAACTTAGCTTGATTAATACATCAGATAAAAAAAAATGCATCGTTGATACCAAAATATACCAAAATATTTGTGTGTTGGAGTAGATATTTTTCTCTGCAGAAGTGAGCACGTGTGTTTCAGGTGGCGCGTTTCCCTCCGTAAAGTAACAACGTTTCCGATCTGAATCAACAGATCTTGATTGACCTGATCTACAATAAATATAAAACTTAACGTAATTAGTTTCTTCCTTATCAGCCGTATAGACAATAAGGACGGTTGCATATTGACAATGTGCCGTCTGACTGTAGGTGTAGTTGCAATCTATCTTGAAGCAATAAAGTCTTCATGAATTATACATACGCCTAACTCAACGAAACAAAGTAGTCTTATGCACTCGTACCGTGTTTTAGATCGTTACCTCACAATTTAAAGGTACAGTCAGTGTCCAGACTGTTACGATACTCCTTATACCTTACCGATACCAAAGTTTACGGCGTTCACAGTCCAACGCAGTTAAATGACGGGAGCGTGATTTAATCATAGCGGGATGCTAACCGACAATAACAACAAAGTCGTGAGAAGTCACAGTAGGTAGATAGCAATATATATTGTGAAAAGGAAATTGGATCAACCTGTATTGTCTGGCTACTTATCTGGGATTTACTTTGATGGACTGGACACTTTGTCATTTTGGTCGGATAGTACGGACACATCTGGTCATTGGCTGTGACAGGAAATCGTAGGTAAGTTTTCTTAAACCATACATAAAAAAGTGTAATCCGCAACCGGGGCAGTACTCCGACTCCAATAGGAAGTAATAAAACAAAAATCAAGATAGGAAATAGTCAGGAATTGTGCGTCTATCTTATTATTAACTTAATAAAAGGGCAAGACTGAGACAGGTAACACAGTGTAACTATTAACGGGACAATAACGGGTAAAACTGAGACAGGTAACACAGTGTAACTATTAACGGGATAATAATGGGTAAAACTGAGACAGGTAGTACAGGTATAACTCTTGATTGAATGATAGGTAAAACTTCGGAAGTTAGATGAAAGGTAAAACTGAAAAAGATAACACTTTTCAACTCTGGAGAGGATAGGTGTAACATAGAAAAAAATAGCATTAGTGTAGCTATACAAAAGATAAAAATCAAAACCGAAAAGGTAGCTTTGGAACTCTTTATTTTCGAAATATAAGTTGTTTTCATGTCTATACAGGGGATTAGAACATGAAGTTTGATTTGAACTTGAGACCAATAGGTCAATCATTTAAACCAAATTTCATGCTCTAAACGCCAACATAGATGCAAAAAACAAATACTACGTTTGTAGTTTTGGAAAACGATATTTATCCTGAACTAAATAGTCAATCGTAGTAACGGACTCTGTGAACTCAGTTCGTATGTTTCTATCATGTGTCGCTCTACCGAGAACTAACCAATCAGAGTGAAGCTTCAAAAACTCGGTTATTCGGCCCTTCCTATTCTAGAGCGTGCCCCAATATTTTTGTTGACGAGGGAGAATGTTAAGATCATTTTATACATCGAATTTTAAAGAAGAATGGCCGAATCATAAGTAACTCCAGTTTGGATGCATGTCATGCTGAGCGTATCGATATTGATGGTCTTGTGAGGATATTTGTTGGTTTCGAGTCAAAATCAAACGGCGTTGTGGCATTCTTTATGTGGAATGTTTCATTTCTGGTTTGGGATTTATTGTGATCGGATGCAAGTTTCAGTAATAAATCAAGGTACGTGCAAATAGTACTTATTTATCATCTTTCAATACAGTAAAATTGCCATCCAATTTTTCAATCAATTACACGGCCTACACTTATAATTGCTAACA